GGAGGTTGCAGCTTTCATTGGCAGCCACACTCATCCACAATCATGTCTTCATGATGTCGAAGGAGCATTTCTCCGTTCTCATAGTAAAGCATGCTTAATGGGCTCATTTTGGTTGGGGCACAACAGGGTGACACCACTCTCTCAGGGTGATGAAATTTTAGTAAACTCTGGGGAAAAAATAGACAAAACAGTGGATTTAGTTATGTTACAATAATACAGATAATTCCAGCTTCAAAAGTGCATTTTGCACAGCCCAAGGTGATAAATTCAGAGACTGAGAAGCACATATTAATGTGATTATAATAACAACATCTATATTATTGTATATACTTATTTGCATTATCAGTTATATTCATAGATACTGGAGGCAGGCTACCACATCACCTGTATGTAAGCATGATTTGTTGGATTTTGGTCTTCTCCCAGAGGACCAGGACAGGAACCTTCGCAGCGGTAAGCATTATATCTTTTTGGAAAGATGATCAAGGACCCCCAGCCTATGTGATTAAAGTCTACATGCAGGTCGACTCGGTGACACAGAGGTTTTTCACTCCCTCTTGCTGTTTGCTCTCTCTGGCCCCGTTTGCTCCTGCCCCTCTTTGGCCAGCGAGGCTTTTTGATTTCAGCAGGGGACAAGAACTTGGATTGTTCAGCTGTATGAAGTAAACTTGCCTTGGCCTTTGAGTTTTCACCAGAGCCAGCGTGTGAAAAGATGACCAACAAGGCCCGGTCGGTCAAGTTTGCCACATAGACAGGCTGATCAGGAAATGACAGACCTCTCTTTGTCGTCACCGCTTTCCGTCTTCTTGATGCTCTTTTCTGTCGAATTCTCACAGTTGATTTTTGTTCAATCCAGCTCAAGAGGGGACTCGTCATGTTGAACACCTTCCAGCTCTGTGATGAAGTGACCAGTGACGATTCAGTGAGCAGCCCCACCAGCTGCTGTTCTTGGCAGCCCATGTGTGTGTGGCATGCCTGGTCATGCTGGTGATAGACCACCACGGAGATGTTCGAAGGACTCTGGGTCCCAGGCAGCTTGATTCTCAGCTCTGCTGCCTGGATCTGTTTGTCAGCCAACAGGGCGTAGAGGTCAAAGGTCACAACCCAACTCCTCTGTCTGTACATCAAACCTAATGCAGTGAAAAGAGAGAGGTTAGCATAGAGAAAATAATCTATGTGTCACACTCATTTGACAGTCCATAAATTAATGTGTTTGGAAGGAGAAGCAGAATCCACCTGTTGTAAAAAGTACAACGTGATATGAAATGAGGCATTTTGTTCTTATTTCCTTCACTGAACTTGCTCTTGAAACCAGTATTTAGTAATACATCAGGACAGATCGTACTACAGCAGTGCCATTTTAAATTTGTCTATATAAAACATAAAATTAAAGAGGTAAACTACACTATTATATATATGGAAATATTTTAAAATATATGAATATTTCTATTATAATAAATTTCTGTCAGCAGATACAGTATCAGCCGCAGTAATGACTAAAAATATAACTTTTTTGATAACTTGTACGATGACTTGCAAATTAACGCTTGTGTTGTGGAGATTTCAGCAAATCAAAGATGAATGTTATGCCTATGAAAAATAATCCAGGGTCGTTGTGAGTCACTGAACAGGTGCGGTTCAGATTATCCTAAAGGATTAGGTATCTTAAACTTATTTAACTTTTGTATTGTCCAGCGAGTTTCTCTGTTTAGATAAGCAGCTGATCAAAAGTGCAAACCACCCTGGCTGTTAATCCACTCAAACCGGGCATCAAACCGAAACCAATCATTTAACACATCGGCGCGTCTCTTGGCTTCTGCATATCCTCAGTCAAACAAATAGGTAGTAACTCTAACACCTAGTGGATTAACCAGGAGGCGGGGCTGTCCCTTGTTGGCTGCTTGTGCCACCATTAAATCCCGAGCTCTAATCTAATCAAGTCAAGTGTGAAAAAGAACTAAGGGAAGTTGTTGATTTCACTCAACAACAGATTTGTATAGGGGGATGTCTGGCGAGATATCTAATCAACATCACCTATTTAAGAAAAAAGGAGGTTTGCCTGCATGGTAATTCACCCCCTGAGTGGGATGTGGATTGAAACCCTCTGAGGTCGTCTGGCGCAGCTTTGACAGGCTTTGAGACAAAACATTTAACATTTAAGACGGTATTTAAATTGGAAAGACACCTCTGACTCTGACTTGGGCTGTAAAACATTTTACCTGTGTGGTTTTTAGTCTATATCCTTTCACCTCTAAATAACACTTTTGTACAACAATCAAATCTTACTTTTAGCCATCACGCTCTTCACGGTGTCTGCTCGCTTTGCGGCATCCTGCTCAATAGTATCCATCGATCTGGAAAAGTTTGACTTGAAATTCCTGTACAGATGCACCATGTAGGTTGGCAGGTGATACCCGGCTGGTCGGTCCATCGTGGACAAACGACGCAGTGTCCTCATATGAACTCCATCTCTGGATTTTGAAATCCCCTGGGCCAGCAGCACCAGCAGAGATGCGTGCAGCGCAACAGCCAGTACTCTCAATGAGCGCATGTTTTAGACCGGTTAAAGACAAATTCCTCCACTGGGAGAATAGGGGTCTCTTATATACCCTCACCCACCCCCTTTCGTGTTTGACAAGTAGCTGAGAACATTAAAGGAAATTGACATGCGTCCCCAAGACGTGTTACCTGACAGCTTATCATCCATTCAGTTGCTAATTGGGTGCGTGTTTACAAGAAGCGCAACTTTTTGTTTGCGCCATGTTCTTTGGACATCTGCAGCCCGAGTCCCTATTCGGGAATTAATTGTTTCAGCTATTTGACTACACTAATTGTTAGGCTTCCCCATAGTGTAATGCAGTTGACTGACAACCGTGTGAAATAAGGAGGACTGGCCTACAGTGCACACAGGCCGAAACATTACAAATAGTACACTAAAACACAACAGTGTTATGATTACTAATATCATTTAGAGCAACGTGCGACCTTGGTGCAATTTATCATAACGTGTTGCTTAACTAGGCTATAAAGACTAATGGCATTTAGGGTGCACAAGGATATTAAAATAAAACATGAAAAGAGTGATAAAATGATACCACAAAAAAGGTCAATGAAAACTTGCCCTCAGACACACTATCAGGACCAAACAGGACACGTCTCTTTATCTCTTTCTTGTCATATTTCTCTTCCTGAGGTTCACTTAAAATTCAGACATGTGGAGCTATAGCCTATAGTTGTATGGTCAATATTGAATTTTTAGTGCCCATATTATACTTATTACGGTTTTTAAAATGTTCTTATAGATACTAATATTATGGTGGACTATTGATATTTACACAATAAGATAAAACATTGGCTATCAAAATATTGATGCTTTTGCAAAGTGGCTTCTTGAGAAACTTATTGAGCAGTATTAGCTGTCAGCTCACGCCACAATATCACAAAGCTCAGTGTTTCATATTATAGGTAAGATCCGAATGCTAATATTTTGGTTGCAGAGATATGCAGCGAGCATCCGTGACCGCAGACTGCGCATGCGCCGTAGCTCTTCTATTCACATAGCGAAATCCTTTTCCTCGTAAATTAACCGAGAAAGAACCAAAAAACATTAATGGGTGTTTTCCCAAGTGGCCTAAACAGAAAGCGGCACGCATCGGCTACATCCTCCACAGCGGACAAACCCGCCTCTGAAACCATGTTTTCTTCAGGAGCAGACGCTTTTTCACCTACCGTGTGCTGAAATGGTGAGTAACTTTAGAGTATGCGGTGCTTGTTGTACAAGCCACGGCAGCCCCAAAGTTAACACTCGTGTCGCTTTAGACGCTGGGAGACTAACAGATATTGAACACCTATACTAAGTATTCATCATAAATATTTGTAACAAAGCAGTTTGACACAACCTAAAGGACATTTTGTGTGGAAGCGTTTGTGTGGTTGATAGGCTACATGTGCTGGCACCCCCCCACCCCTTGCTCATAATTAGGCAACACTTAAGATTTTCATATTTTCAGTAAAGTGGATAATCTGAATAGGTTATGAGCTACATTAGCAAAGTTGTACGTTTTCCATCTTTGCAGTGACTTCTGTTTGCAATGAATGCATTACTAATAATAAGGGAATGCACTTTGAGATATGGTAGCTCTCAGAAAACCCAGAACAAATACTTCCACACATGGATAACATGATTATCAACTACACTGGAAAATTTTATGATTGTAAAATATGATTTTAAACACTATGAATTATACTTTTACATTGAGTGTATGTGTGTAATAACATAGCGTATTTAAGGTCAGTAAGTTCTTTTTCATTAAATAAAACTGAGATGTGATTGAAAGTTCCAAAAAGCTGTAAGTAGTCCTTTGTGCTTGTAGTGTAGCACTGAACATGTGTTTAGTCATTAGTTTAGAACAGATGCACTCAGTTTTGGATGATATTTAGCTCAGGCTCCATGGTTTGAATGCACTTATTGTGACTGTTGTCACTCTGGATAAACTGTCTGCCAAATGAATGTAATGTCATAGCTAAGATATAATATGTTGTCATCAATTCATAGGTAGAAACAGTATTCCTAAACTGGAGTATAATTTGAATTTAGCATCGTGTTTTTGGCTGTTTAGAGCATATGTCTAGATACATTATCATAATCATGAACACCATTCCTTAAATGTACCAAGACATGTTCATTCTTGCCTTTAGGTGCAGTGTAAAGTATGAAAAGTCCATAGCACCGTAAGACAAAGCACGTGGTGCCTTTTGATGTACTGCAGTCCCGGCTTTTGTTTGATGTAGCTCGTCCAGCTGGGATCAGTCTGCTCTCTTCATATCACTTTACCATCCATCCTGGGGGGATAACAGAAACCGGCTCTTGACAACTGTGAGTGAGCACAGATCAGACTGTGAATATCACAATTAATCAGCAATGACAGCAAGAAACTGAATGAACACCTGGATCATAAATGATTGAGCTCATTACTCTTGGTTTATCTTGATAAGAGGCACAGAGCAGAAACTTTAGCCCTTTCAGGTTTAACTTGTAAAGTTGCTACTGTTTTGCTCTGAAATGTTGTCAATGCTTTACTTTAAACTTTTAGCAGGGATTTTGGCTAGGAAACTATAAAGTCAAAACAGGGGTCCAGGTAGATTTGGGGTGTCTTTGGCCAAGTTTAAACTCCTAAAACCCAGTGGTGATTCAGCAAATATGAGAAATACATTTTCATAAATACTTTTGAGTCCTATAAAGCCTGACCATTTTGGTACAGATTAAGTCTTTAAAGTATCTGTCCTAATATAACGGACATGAAATCACATCCACGCCTGAGTGCGGTGGATAATTTCTTCCACAAGGTGTCATATTTGAGCACTTTGTACAGTACTATATCCCCAGAGGTGTTCATCTTGGGTATTTTGTAATTTACTCTAGCTTCCCAGGGGCTTTGGTGTTGATGAACACAATTGTACATATACACAAAGACGGACAAACATTGCAGTTATAAATATAAAGAAAAAGATAACTTTGAATCCAAATAAGAGTTATTTTTAACACTATAATGCTCATACTGCTCCTGAGAGCTTAACTCCTCCTTTCCTGTCCCCGTTACAAGGCTTTTAGCGAAATGGCTTTTTATGGATGAGACAAATGCCAGAACTGAGAGAGGTTTTGGATGAGACAGGTGATATTAGCCATATGCTCCTTTTTCTGATCTTTTTTCCATTTAACAGAGAGGATGTTTCTTTACATTTGTCACAAAACATCTGTCAGTGTTATCGCCTTCTAATAAAAAACTGGAAGGAAATGAAGGATTTATACCTGCCAGAGTAACTGCCAATGAAATCAATTTTAGCAATCCCCTTGAAACAACTTAATGCTTCTTGACATTTGTTTGTTACAAAATCACCCCAGAGAACAAAGTTGTGTTTATCACTGCTTACTCCGTGGACTGATTCAGTCATGTTCTGAGGTTTTGTGGGTTTTGTTTCATATTCACAGTGTTGCAAGAACATCAGAGTCTGTGCTGCTGCAGGAAGGAAGGAACAGGTGTGGCAGCAGTAGATTTTTACATCCATATCATTGAAAACCACTCACCACCTTTGCAAATTAGCTTAATTTGGACATCATCTTGTGACAGACTATGTTGGTTGCACAACTTTATAACAAAATATTCTCACAGGCAGCCACTGTAAGTGTGGGTGCCTGTGCCTGGGTGGTTTTGCGTGTTCATATGGAGTCAGATATGAGCCTGTTTAGCAGAAGTGTTTTTTTTTTGTTGTTTTTGTTTTGTTTTTTTTGCAAATTTGTGTCTGTACAGGTGTGACATCACTCGACACTGGTGCTTTGTTCTCGTTTCCTATAGCCCATGGAATGAAATAGGGCACTCGGTGCATGATGAGTTTGTCTGACCTCAGGGCTACAAGAGATTGTGACTAAGTATTTGCCCAGCTGTAAGCCTGTTTGCCTTTAACGTGGCATGTGTTAACCGCTAATGAATGGAGTAATTAGAGTATTGTAGTGAATTAGGCTTATGGGATGTCATCTGTGTGCATTTGTTACTGATTGTCAGCCTCCTGGCAGCTCTACATTACATAATGTCAGTGAGGGCTTAACAGCCGTGGTTCATAGCAATAAGTTTAATAAGTGAAGATTTAATTTATGTGTTAGAAACAGTTGTTAAAAGGTCTGCCATGTGTGGGAGGCTCCCATAGTGATTGGATAGTGAACTGAATGATGAGTAAACTCTCTGGGTCCGCCTCCACATCCTCTTAATACATCCCCACACACAGTTGCATACACAGAAATCCCGGCATGCGCGAGCAGGATTTCACCTCTTGCACAGGGGACTCGTACAGAAAAGTAACAAAAAAACCAACAAGGGAGCATGTCGTCACGCTTTTAAACCCCAGGCAGAAAGCTGTGGCACCCCCCTGCTGGTTTTTCCTGTTGAGCGCCTGTCTGGGATCTGTCCTCACGGAAGGACACGCTCGTTGACCTGCTTCATCAGCGATGTGAGACCGCTACCTGTCATAGTGTGATCAGCTGGCAGAGACAGATTGTCTCACTGATCAGACAGAGGATGTCCGACTGAGTCCGGCACCACTGTCATTTTGGTTATTTTTAACCCACTTTTTTCCTCACTGTGTTCCTCGGCGACTTGAGCACATCTTGGATGGTGTGCTAAACAGCTGGATGTCAGGTACAGTTCTGTTTGTTTTACATTCTCTGTGTTATGATGCTTGAGTCCTGCTGCAGGCTTGTGTTTGCAGTCTCTGAAAGATACAAAAGGAAATGGCATAAGTTGTCTAAGTATCACCTCAGACGCCTGGTGTGATTTTACTTCACACTGAACAGATTTGACTATGAAACCCTTTCAAACTATAGAATTTCTCTTAATCTGTCATATGATCTTAAAGCTACTTTCTCTTTCGAAGAGACATTCATGTTTAATACTCACATTGCTACATGAATTTTCTTCCTGACATATGACACCAAGGCTTTTCTGAAATGTTTATCACCTCTCATTCCTTTACAAGAGGACCAGCACAGAATTCTGGAATTTATTCAGCGGCTAAGGCAGGATTTGTTTGCACATACACAAGTTTGGTTCCACACACTTTTCAGGCTGAATAGCAAGCAAAAGGAAACATGTTAACAAATCAGTGTAAAAGCTTCCCATGCAGATGTTCTCCGAGGCTGTGGCAAATATAAGGTCTGTCAGTTGGCCTGGCACTGTCGACAGAATATCGCGGTCAGACCCTGGGGTTTAGAAAAAATGAAAGCCACATTACTGCAGCCTTGAAATCATAGGAAATTGCCATCTTGAAATGAAATAAATTACAGACAGGGTTTAAAAATAGACATGCACATCCTTTTTAGCAACTCGGCCTCAAACTGTGATAAAAGCAAAAATGGTAATGGCTAAGGGTTATTCGTGTGATTTTCGTTGCAGCAGCATTGTTTGTTTTTGTGCCGTTCGGAGTCACAGTAGATGAGCTGCTACTTTGACTTTTAACTGAATCTGTTTTGCAAAATCTTTTTTCTGGGAGTTTGATCAGATTTGGAAATTGAACATCCTCTAACAATTGCATGACTTCCTTTATAGCACAGTCTCTTTCTGAGCTGACTGTTGGGTGATTAATTTTGAACAGAGACAAATATATCAGAGCTGTACGTTGACACAAACTCATATTGAGGTCTTTGGAACAGTTGAAGGAAAGCAAGAAAGATTTTCTGCAGCGGAAGCAGTGAGATAATTTCCGTGCAGCACTGATATTTAGTTCAGGAACTGGCAATGTCCTGTGGAATCATGCCTCTATGTAACTTTTAACCTCATTGGTGAAATATGTTGCAGCTGCAGGGAGGAAGTTTCACAGTACAACGTTGCATTTCCTGCTAAGGTGTGCAGACACTTCCTCTGCCTAGGGCGTGTGACTGGGTTGTATTGAAGGGTTTGCTGGTCTAGTATCCTGTGATGAGTGAGAGACTGGGAGGTATTGTGTCATTGTTATAAATAAGACAAGGACTAGATTACTTCAGACCTTGTAAAAACGCCCCTATCTTTGATATTGAGCTATATAAATGAAAATGTACTTAACTGTTATTTGCTTGTATTAATACAGTTCTGTCATTCTGTGATTTTGTGCAGCCAGGAGGCTCTCAGGCTTAACATTGTCAGACTGAACAAGTGGCCTCCATGGAAATGGAAGGTCCAGAAATGCCCAGGACTCTTGCCAAGAAAGCAAGTTGCATTCATTCTGGACTTTCTGTGGTTCTTGCTGTTACGCCTGCAGCTCTCTTCTCCATCTTCATATGGGAAGTTGTGTCGAAAGATCCTCTCAGCATTACAAAGTGATACCCATCTCTCTTGAACCCCTGCATCTCTTGTAAATGAAGAGCGCTCTGCATCCTTCCTCTGGGCCACCAGCAGATGCATCCTGCAGCTGCACGCTCCTTCCTGCCTGCACTCAGACCCTTTTGTCTGAAGACGTTTCTTCAGCAAAGTTGGGACACCGATTGAATTTAAATGGGGCAGCCCTGAATGGGGCAATGCTGACAGGCTGGCAGAAGGTCCCAGTTTCCATGGTCTTATTCTTACTGTGCCATCAGTGAGTTTAAACATAAGTGCATTATGATACAGCCTGTTGCCTTTTGTTTCATACATAAACACACAGAGATGAGTTAAGGCATCTATTTTTTATCATTTACCTTTTGCATAGTTTCTCTTTTTTATGTTGTCAGAGGAAATCGGAGTTTGTCTTGTTGGTGTTTTTCTTTTAGCAGTAGGACACTATGGCTGACATTTGGGATAAACAGCCTCTCTGATGAGTGGCCTTGATTGGCTTTAAAGGAGGATGTTTATGACTGAGGGCTATTTCTACTCAGGCCTCCACCCCGGCTGTCCGCCCGCTAGGCCCAGCCTGCCCATGCTGAAATCAGCATAGCTGATGAGCTGAGCTTGAGTGTAGCAGGCGCTTCAGTGTCAAACTGTGTGTACACGGTCTGGCAGCCAAGGTGATGCGCTGTAAGGTAAGTCAGAGGAGGATTTCTGAGGTACCAGTTTGACTGAGCAAGCTGTGGCATTAATAATGCCAGCTTTCTTTTGGAGACTTGTAAAAATGAAGCTTCAGCCAGGAATTGTAAGTTGACCTCTTTCAACACTCAGACATCTGACAAATAACACTGTGTGGGCTAAGATATAGCACGTTCTATGAGGATAACGGGAGAATCTGTCATCAGTGCTTTATAGCCTTCGGCTGAGCCACATAGGAACATGCATATTACCATGCATGACTGTGGTGATGGATAAAGAAACCTAGTGATTAAATGTCCTTAAAGTGACAAAGACTGAAAAGACTTTGCTATGCAAGTCCCCTTTTCTGTGTACTTTACATCTGTTTCCAGCCTAAATAGCTTGAAGTAGAGGAGACACAGAAGACATAAATAACCCTCATGCATCATATACCTGCCTGACAAAACTTTCTTTTTTAGTGCAGAAAACATGACATTAAAGCTGCAACAGTTTATTTATTATTTCAAGTCAGTTCAATTTGCTTCACAGGGATTTACAATTTGTACAGCATACAAGAACTTGTATCATCAGAGGTTTGACTAGTGCATCATCTTGTTGTTCCCAGTTTAACTGAGATGTGGATGTATTTGCAAGTTATTTATCTTCAAGTTTGGGCCACACATGGATAGAAACTTACTAGTGATACTAGTAATAACAATACTAAAATAGCAATACAGAGAAACTGAATGATATCTTATTAATTAATCTTGTTAATGGAGTTATCATTTCAGTATGTTCCTTTGCAGTGCTTACTGTACAGGACAGGAGTTAACTGCGTCGTCTGTGTGCACAGCCTGACCCTGTGAAAGGGAGCTGAACTTAGCCAGCTGGCTGCCAAATGTACCACTTCTTTCCCCAGTACCCGCTGTGGAGACCTGAATCTGTTGCATGAGTCTCCTCCCGAGCACAGGAGACAGGCCAATGATGAGAACGCTGTATGAAAGCTTGAACTCCTACCCAGTGCCAAGCAGCTGGCCACTTGGCGCTCCAGCTACAGTAGGAGGTGTTTCCCACCGACTGGGGGTAGCCGAGGGGATTCAAAAGAGTCATTTTTTTTGGATGCGATGCTAAGTTCTCACAATCCTTTGGACGATGGTGGAAAACAAGCAGCAGACATAAAAGTCTGGAAGTACAGGTAGCTCTTCATCTCATGTGTAAGATGTCGTATTTTTGGTGGATTGTTGCAGTGAGGAGTGTTTTTTTTTCACAAAATTATGGCAACAGAAATGCTTTTGGTATGTGGTGAGGACTCAAATAGATGTGGGCAGCTGGGGCACAGTATTCCTGAATGCTTAGCTTCCATTTATGGAACTTGAATGGTTTCTACCTCTTTTTGCTCTTCAGTTTTATTTTTTGTTTTTTTTTTACTTTGCAGTAATTTGATAGTACTTCCTAAAATCATAAAGTTAATCAGGTCAAGCTATGAAAAAAACATGTCAGACTTCTTTATATTTTACTGTACCAGCAGACAAACTAACAAGCAAATTAATATGTTGTTGTCTTAACACTTGTGCTTATGAGAAGACACTGAATCAAAAGGTCATCGAGTACAAAGGTAACCTGCCCACTCAGCTCCCGACGCAGGAGAGTAGTGGTGACTCACCCGACACTTGTGTCTCCACAGAGCCTCTCTGCACAGTGAGAGTCTGCTCTATTCAAAGCTGGAGATGACACAGATCTGAGCTCAGGTGGTAGCAGATAACCCTCCCGTACTCCTCGGCTGTGTCACTCATATTGATCTTGGATCCATTCTGCGTTCTTAATCTACACTTTGCAGCTTCATTGTTACACTATGTGTATCTGTGAGTTTGTGGTGCTTTTGGAATTGTGTATCTTTGTGTGTTTCTCCTATGTTTTTGTGCTCTGGTGCTATAGGCTCCTGACCAGCTCCATGCTGTAAGTGATGTTTAAGAGCAAGGTTGTTCCTGACACCAACTTCTAGTGTGTCAGCCGACTTGTTTGTTTTTCTCCTCAGCACCCTGCAAAGCACACTGCTTATTCAGAGAGGAGGAAGCTTGCTTGAAATTTGTGGCTGGCTCGTGAGGGGGTCTGAGTTCTCTGTATCAAGTTGTATGATTAAAATATTACTCTCTAATCCCCTGCCACCATGAATAGATTGTAGAGATGAGCGCAAAAAGGAGGATTTAATGAGACATTGAATCACTAACCTCCTGTTAATCTTTTTTTTTATAGCCTACAGTAAATACATGGTAAAAATCAATGGAATAACAGTCATTAATACAGAGACGCAGTAAATAAGAGATGATTGCAGGAGGGCTTTTACAGAATGCTAAGCATTTTAATTAAGAGAAACAATTCATATTTACAGTTTTTAAATTCAGCAGCTACACACAATAAATGTGATTCCACACTGTTTTTTACACATCAGCTTGAATGTGTGCCATACAGAAATGATTAAACCTGCAATATAAAGTCCACATATAATGGGATAACATTACCCAGATACAGTGTACTGTATGTTTTTCCCCTGTGTGAGGGCCTTTGTGTTTTTATGTGCGGCAGTATGTTTGCTTCCTGTTTCTGAGTCCACTGCGATGTCATTCACAGCTGCTTGTGGAGCATGGGTACAACTGCCAGTGCCGCACCACAGCCTGTTTCCGTAGCACCGCCACTTAAGAGTGTACATGGCAACGGGATGGCCGACAGCAGCCACTCTTTTAACATGAGCCCTTTTCCAACAGTCAGCATCCACAGCAACAAGGCCAAGTCCATTATCACCAACAAAGTCGCACCTGTCCTTATCACGTAAGTCCCTCCCTGAATTTGCGTTCTCACAGTTGGGCGCTAATCCCCTTTGATCACTGTGGTGACATCCCCCTCCCCCCGAGCCTCAGTGTTTGCCCCTGTTATCAACTCATTTGTCAATTCAGGCTGGCAAATACTAACTGGTAATTGAATTGACCTCTCTCTCATCCAGTCCTTTGCTGTGATCTGTTTTATAGGTATAACTGCAGACAGGAATTTCAGATTCATGATGACGTCCTCAAGACCAACTACAAAGTCGGTCGGATATCAGACGCTATGCCCGAGCACTACCTGGTGCAGGTAGGACGCAGCACAAGCCTCTTGGCTGCACAGAGGAGAGATGTGGAATAATCTCACCTGTCTTTTTCGCTACTCTTTTCACATTCATGTGTCCACATTGCTGAGTGGTGGAACATTGTTATGCACTGTTTTATGATGTGAGGCAGCCGTTGAAACAGACGAGTTGTCACCCTCCTATCAGGGCTTTGATCTGCTCTGCCACCTCTGCTGTGGCTGTTCAGGCATGCAGTGTGTTGTCAGCATTAACCCACAGCTTCTCTTTACTGGTCTGTAGTGTCACCTCCAGAATGACCATGTCCACTTAAGACATTTATTTTCGTCTCTGCTTTGACTTTCAATCCACACCAAGCAGTTGTTTTTCACAAAGAAAAACTCTCTCCAGAAGTAAGCAGTGACAAAACCCCAACCTCAGTGTAGACATGTATAAAGACATCTTCTGAAGCAGTGACATAATGCTGCTCAGACTGGTGTTGTGTGTCAGAGATGTTAGGAAATCAGCTGTAAATCTCCCGCTCTGTGATCACATATTTTGAATTCAAATATAGCTGATTGCACTATACCGGTGTTGTCAGATGGGCTTTGATAGCATTTTATTGAATATGAATCCTTTCAAATCCTTTATCAGATTTGTTTTGACTTGCTTGTTGGGGAATGAAGACATCTTTATTAATAAATTTGTTTTACTGTGTCTCATCCTTCCTACAAATATTGCATTTCACAGTTGTTTAATTTTCAAAAAGAGACAAAAGAAAAGTAGGGGTGTGATGCTACTCTTAGCTCATGAAGTGAGATGATACATGATATTGGGCTCACGAGAACGAGACGACAAGATATTTTAACACTTTTTTAAAGAAATCTTCAATGATGAAATATATGACTGGAAAAATAGTCTTTTATTCGACTGAAAGTCTCAAAATGCAAAAAAAATGCAGGTGCATTTAGAAATGATTTGCAAAAAGAAAGAGGAAGAGTTGTTATTTTTGGTGTGGGTGAGGAACAAAACGTTTAATAAACAAAAAACTTTATTATTTAAAGTAAACTTTTAACTCCAGTATGGATGGACAATTTCCAAATTGTCTTACCAAATTAGTGTTGACATATTTGCTGCGCAGGATTTACAATGTTACGGAATGCTTGAGTGGAAAGCTGAAATGTTTAAACACACACCAGGGTCATGCTCAGAAAGTTTCTGATGATTGTTGCATTGCTTCCCAGGGGGAATACTTTATGGTCCAGGATGTATACAGCAAGGCAGATGTCCTGAATACCACGAGCAGCTATGGAGTGCCCAACTTCCGCCAGGTCAAGGGACACTACCCGCTGTATGGGATGGGTCAGCCGAGCCTGAACGGCTTCAGGCAGGTTCTCCAAAGGCTCCAAGCACAAGGACATGAGGTCATAATACGTTTTTTAAAAATAAAAAATCAATACATACAGAATTGAAGCTGACATAAATGGTTGACAGGCCCGTCTTGGTGCCTGTGTAGCTCTGCCTGGTTTCTTTCTAGCTGTGCTGTCAGTAAATATTTGCGGAGTCAAGTGCTCAGTGGAGGCTGTGGCTGAATTGTAGAACTGAGCAAACAGAAAGTTGTGGTCATGTGTACCAATGGAAAATGAATCTCTTTGCTTACAGCAGCTAGAAAGCGACTGTAATTGAAGTGAAAATGACAAAATTATACATCAGGCCTGTCTAAAACTCCTTACTCATGTGCTGCATTTCACATAACAACAGATAGTTTCCAGTTGCTCTGGAAGTGATGTAGTTGGTAGAAGGCAACAACCATTTACTTTAAAAACCCCTTATTTGATGCTTATCTTGCTGTGCTTTTGCAAACAGGAGATTATATTCTTCTGCGTAAGAGAGGAACCAGTGGTTTTTCTGCACAAGGATGAGGACTTTCTTCCGTATACCCCCAGGAGGAAGGAAAACCTACACGAGAACCTCCATGGCCTGAAAAAGGAGGAGATGGTGGAGAACCTGGAGCTCACTATAAGGAAAGAGGTGACCGTCTCACATTTGCTCAGTATCTGCATGTGGCAGAGTTGGTTTTTTTTTTTTTTGTCACATTATAGTTTACAGCAGCATTAAAACACTTCCTTCTTCCACAGCTCCACGACTTTGCCAAGCTCAATGAAAACATCTTCTACGTCTACAATGACATTGAGTACTTTAAAGATGAACCCCAGAAGATCTCTGTCACATGCGAGGAGGACATCCATGTGACTGAAGAGGTCTATAAGAGGCCCATGTTCACAATGCCGACCTACAGGTTGTTTACGTCGTTTCTGTATTAGTCCACAGCTCACGTGTCACAGAGCAGCAGGTGGCTACATGCTGCTGAATATGTAGGGCAGGTTATAAATAGTGGTGCCTATTTGTACAAAGGCTTGTTGCCCTGTTTTCTTTCAGAAGAAAGGTGGGGGGGTGTAAAAACTAAAGCTTGCAGCATCCTGTTTTCTATCAGATCAGCGGAGTCAGCTTTATTGAGCTGTCATAACAGTTTCTCATGATTTCCAGAGCAAGAGAGTATATTATTACCTGAGGAAAGCACCAAAGCCTCGTCTCTGGTTCTTATGAAGTTTTACAGTGAAAAGAAAGCAGCAGGATGGTTTATTATACAGAGTATGAAATTGCAGGTGGTTAGTGTTTTTTCAAGGGAATGTTAATGATTTCATCATTCTGATCTCTTGCCATCCCTTGTGAATTGTCAGGAGGAAGTAAAGTACTTTAAGTCAGGTGTCTCTGTGCTGTGTGTTGTGCTCTCCATAAGGGCAGCACTGACACAACACAGGCACAGGTTCAACTCTCTATAACAGTCTGTTATATTGCAGGTACTACAGATTACCACTACCAATGGAGGGGGCACCATTGGAAGAAGACTTTGACGCATTTGTTAACATACTCAGGGTAAGCGCATGTAAAAATGTCAGTCATGCTGCAGCTTCAGCAATGAATCAGACCTTTTTAGTTCTTTTTTCCCTTGTTGGGATTGTGTTTTAATGCGCCAATGAAGTTATAAATGGTCAGAATGTTGGGAAGCATCTGGATTTTTTCACTGTCGTAGCGAGAAGCTCATAATAGCCTTTTTAATCTACATGTGGCCTTTAAATCTGTCCTGTTTGTGCCATCAGTCACTTCTAAGTGTGATAGCTGTTATGTAAAAAGGCTGAAAACCTGCAGCTCATGTTCACTCTTTGGTCATCTGCTCAGTCTGATTTCCGTCCTGCCCTTTACTCATACAGAATGTTCCTTTCGTCTTGTTATGCCCTTTTTTGGACTGACTTGCAGCAGCCGGTCCAGTTCCCTGTGGTTGGAAAGTGGCTTCTTTTTAAACAGTGTTTGGATCAAAGCTTTACTTAGTCCTGCCATATTCTTCCTTTCTGTCTGTCTTTTTGTCATCCTCAGTTATATTGCCCTGCTAAAGTTTTCTTTTTTGAAAAATCTTGCATTCCTTGATATTTGTTATCATTTTTGTGGTTAAAAAGGGCTTTAAAACCATAGTTTCTCGATCTCATCTGAAATATTTGTAGAATAAACCTTTTAATCCAGTAAAAATTGATTTCATGGCTCCAGGTATAAACTATGTTAATTTTTGATTAATCACTTCTCAGTGACTCTTTTCCACTGTGCTGAATGTTTCAAGCCATTAAAATCAAAATAATGCGACAGCATTCATCTTTTATGTGTTTTAAAATGGAGCTGGACATCACTGAGACTCTCTCCTCTATACTGTATGTCTTCTGTTTTCCAGGAGAGCCCCAGCTTGTCTCTGGGCCATGATGTATCCAGACTGCAGCCCGCTCTGCTCTTCAGCTGCCAGGTGGGCGTTGGCCGCACCAACCTGGCCTTGATCCTGGGCACACTGGTCATGAATCGTCTGAGGGGTGATTCTCAACCACTGCCTCAGTAAGAGCTCAGCATGAGTTACATCTGTAAAATGGAGAAGGACTTCACCTGGGTGTTTAATAATACAGTGTAACGATGCAGCTTTAGAAATGGCTTCATTTTTTAAATATCAGGTAATCATAGAGTCGACCCTATTTGCTTTGGTTTGCAGAGCTGAGGAAGTAGCAGCCACAGAGCCCAAACCACTGTTCCAGGTCATCCAGTCTCTGATCAGCAAGCTGCCTAATGGACAGCAGGTCATGGAAGAGGTAAAGCAAACTACCTATACCATCATAACATTTCGAATATAGATAATGTGTAGGTCTGAAACAACAATATTTAAAGTAATGCATTGTGGATCTTTCAATGTGGGAGAAGGAATAGATGTAGTTGTAAACATATTTATCAAAGGAACTGAAATTTTGTAGGAAAAAAACACTAACACTTCACTTATATTATTTAAGTTGAGGTCTTAAAAGGTTAAATTGGTTTTATATTTCATTCTGATGGATCAAAAACTGTAAAGCTCGATTTATGGTTTTGTTAAATCTATGCTGTAACTACTGTGTAAGTAACATGTAGCCTTGTAGCCTATGCCATAGCATGACGTGTACCTCTCAAGAAATGGAACTGCACGTCGCGGCAATGCAGACAACAACAACTGTGATTAGTTGCATTGCAGTAAATTGCATAAACCAAGCTTTACTTGATGACAGTCAAACATTTTGAAGTCAATGCCATCTTGTTTTTGTCTGACAGGTTGATCAGGCTATTACCCTGTGTTCAGAAATGCACAACATAAAAGAAGCAATATATGAGAACAAGAGTAAACTGGAAGGGATTGGAGAAGATTATCAGATTGAGGTTAGTGGTGTTCCTTTTTCTGACTGAATTCCTCTTCAAGGCAGCACCTTTGCTATAGTTAGTGCTTGATTTTCAGCAACCTCTGCTGCTGAGTAGAGCAAGAGTGAGGCAGCAATCAATGATGATTATGTGTAAAAAGTCCTTATCAGTGTAGGTGGATACTTCAGAAATTGCCCACAACAGCTGATGGAGGACTAAAGTAACCGATAACATTAGAGAGTTGAATTATCTCCTGTCTGTCAGGAAATCATTAGGATCATGCAGCAGATTAAGTTGAGGTGCTTCACTAAAAGAGAAACCTCTTTTTCAGAGGTATGATGTGTACAGTATGAAAGGATGAACAAATACTGAAACCTTTGTTTGCTGTTCAGGGAAGCAGCACCAAAGACTACTTTCTCAGCAGAACCATGCAGAGCTTGGAGCGCTACTTCTATTTGATTGTATTTAATGCATACCTTCATGAACAGGTATTTTTTTCCAGTGTAAATTTCTTTATTGATATACAGTGCCTTGCGAAAGTATTCGGCCCCCTTGAACTTTGCGACCTTTTGCCACATTTCAGGCTTCAAACATAAAGATATAAAACTGTAATTTTTTGTGAAGAATCAACAACAAGTGGGACACAATCATGAAGTGGAACGAAATTTATTGGATATGTCAAACTTTTTTAACAAATAAAAAACTGAAAAATTGGGCGTGCAAAATTATTCAGCCCCCTTAAGTTAATACTTTGTAGCGCCACCTTTTGCTGCGATTACAGCTGTAAGTCACTTGGGGTATGTCTCTATCAGTTTTGCACATCGAGAGACTGAAATATTTGCCCATTCCTCCTTGCAAA